TTATGTAGGTGTATGTATGGGTACTGTACGTGATTTTATGTATAATATGCATGTAGGCCTGAATATATTATAACATCATGTAAATATATGATGATATATATAATGATATATAATTATATTTAATTATATAATTATATTAATCAAAATGTTATATTTGTTTTGTTTGCCTGAAACATATATAGAAAATAAAAAACCCATATACTGAATCACAGTGTTATAAATACCTTTAATTGAATCATCATTGAGTGTTGGATATTCATTTACGCCTCCTGAATATGTAGGTAGTTCAGAGGGTGTTGAAAATTCATATTCATTCGTTACGTCTCCTGAATGGATAGCTGGTCCTTTTATTAGATGCACATGAAAGTATAAAAACAGAGTAAGTAGATGATGGTGAGGATAAATTTGACGATAGTCATTGTCATAATATTGTTTAGGGGTGGTTTGGGTTGACATTTGGGGGAGGGGTCACATTTTTTTCACAAAATCCCCAAAAAGAAAGGGGTCGGGGTCCTCCCCCAAAAATTTTGATTCCTAGATGGCGGAAAATGAGCTTTCCCGACTTCTGAGGTGTCTTTTAATGACTTTAAGTTCTTCAAAATTCCAGATTTTCCTCTTGAAAACGGTCATGTAAACTTTCTCATTCATATTACAGTAAATAGGAATATTCATGTGTGTATATAATTATTAAATAATTGAGTATATAGTTGCTTACGTATGAACCGACGACTCAAAAAAGGAAGAAGGGTTGAGGGTCCTCCCCCGGGAATATATTGATTCCTACACATGGCCGGCGGAAGCGGGGGGGGGGAGATTTTTGTATGATCGGAAATGCAAAAAAAGAAGGAGGCAAGAAGGAGGAGAAGGATGGGAAAGAGAATGTTTATCCAGTACCCGACCGAATAACATTTTCTCGCAATTCACATTGGCGGATCTGGGGGAGCGGGGTCATGGGTCCCGACCCCTCCCTTGGGCAACAAAAAAAGGGGGTAAAATGAATTCTAGACCTACATTTTCAGGACCCGTGAGCTAATTTTTTTTTTGTTGCTATTAGAAAATTAGAATTTTGAAGAACATAAAATTCATTAAAACACACATCAAATGTCTGGAAAGCTCAATTCTCGCCATCAGGAATCAAAATTTTCCTGGGGGAGAACCCCCGGACCACCCTTTCTTTTTGGGATTTATCGATTCATGGAAAAAAGAATACGCATGCAACTACTCATTTGTCTATGTACGGTATGTATACACACATAAAATAAAAAATGAGAAAAATTTACCTGACATTTTTTAAGAGGGGAAAACCTTGAATTTTGAAGAACTTTAAAAGTCATTAAAAGACATTTCAGAAGTCAGATAAGCTCATCTCCCGCCATCTAGAAATCAAAATTTTTCCGGGGGAACCCGGACCCCCTTTATCTTTGGAGTTCATTGATTAATTGAATCATTTTCAATGGGGGGGGGGGGGACCTTGAATTTTGAAGAATTTAAAAGTCATTAAAAGACACCACAGAAGTCGGTAAAGCTCATTTCCCGCCACCTAGGAATCAAAATTTCCCGGGGAGGAAGAACCACAGGACCTTCCCCACATAAGAGTAATTAAAAGACACCTCAGAAGTCGGGAAAGCTCATTTCCCGCCATCTAGAAATCGAAATTTTCCCGGGGAAGGAATGTTGACCCCACCACCTAGATTTGATTCCAGATCTGCATGATTCATATTCCCATTCATCTTATAAGCAGTGGCGTAACAGGCGGGGCAGGGGGCAGACTGTTCCCCCCCCCCCGACGGTTTTTACCAGGCTGACAAAGCTGGGTAAGAAGAGAAAAAGGGGAGAGGGAGGGAAATAGAAAGAAGGGGAAAGAAAAAGAAAGGAAAAAGGAAAATAAAAAGAGAAGAGAAAAATAAAGACAAGAATAAAAAGGAAGATATAATGAACAGATATCACAATACCCCGGC